CCGTGGAAATGCTTCCTCTTTGGATGCGAGCAACACAAAAACTTTGGCTGTTTGGTTATGGAGTAGATATGATATATGAGGGAGACTCCAAATGTTTTTTTTAAATCCCTGAAATGCATCACCACAACAGATCCTGCCGCCATGTGCAGCCACAACCCCGACAGCCCTACGGAACCAGAGGAGCAGCTGCCACCTGCCCACCCAAAAGACCAACAGCTCACATTCCTGCGTTTTCACTTTTTACTCTTCATCATCCTACATGAAAGTCATCTTCAATCACAGAAAGGAAAATCTGAAAATAAATGAATTGTGATTTTGACAGAAAATACTGTCAATAAGGAAATAAACAAAAGGTCCAAAAAGTTGTAACCTCACTGGTAAATCTTACTGATTCAATATACAAAACACCCATCCAGAGGAAAAATCTATCCACTGTAAATGGCTTTAGCAAACAGAAAGAACCTAACCCAACAGTCAAATCAGTTTCCTTACTAATGGAATTTGATATGGAAAAGAAAACACACCACATATTGCCCTGGGGGAAAAACAATGAATATCTATTGTCTCTGTCATTATCAAATTATTTTCGACAGCTTTAATCGGAAAGAAAGTTACACAAGTTTTGACTGGAGAGCCAGTGAGAGCTGCCATTGTTAGTGCATCCACAAAACCTTTTCTAAAAACTGATAAGGGCTAACTGGCATCAGTCACTTCTTTAGTCTGGTGTTACTATCCTCCTCTGTACTGGGTGTCAGATGTCCTGGGGGTTCTCTTCTCTGGGTGCTGGGCTCTCTTGGCTTTATCTCAGGAACTCAGCTTAATGGAGTAGGCTCTTAGCGTCCTATTAGTGTTCAGGAACGGACTCAAAACGCTCTGCTTGGCTCGCCATTCGACCAGATGGACACACGGATAGAGAAAATATGAATAACCACGTATGTTTGAGCTCATATCTAGGGGTTGATTTTAGAGTAGCTAATGAATCTGTGTAGGACTTTGGCCAGTGGTAAGAAGATGGAGGAGCTGTTACAGTAATGCAGCAGTACTAACCACATTACTTACTTACAGTAAGTAGTGATTTTATATCATTTAATATTGACTGCTTTATAATGATAATAACGGGTAATACGATAAACCCTTGACAAATGCTTTGATTTTGAGGCAAAGTTGTGCATTTCTCACATTCCCTTATTGTGTTTCTACCAAGTGAATCTGTGTGTGTGTGCACATGCATTTAGACCTGCATAAAATAAATCATTTATGAAAGCCATCACGTGAATGAGTTGCGGATAATAAATTACGCAATAAATTACAGTTTTTACCTCCAGTGTCACAACGTATAATTGAGCAAGACACAAAACATGGACATCAAGCCACAGTACAAGGATCCAGCGTGCAGCTCCATTACTGCCAAAGACCTGAGACAGCTAAAAAAAAGAAACAAGAAAAAAAAAAAGAAATCAACCCAGCAGAAGTCAAGCTGCTGGAGGAACGGGGAAAAAAAATGAAAAGCTAAATATGATTGCATTAGCTGCGGGGCAGGATATCAATTGCCTTGGACTATAATTTAATAAGTTGCTAATTAAGTTAGCGGCAAACTTTTTGGAGCCTCCTTTGTCTGACTGACTCTCTGGGGAGTTTGTCCCAGCATACAGACGGTGCTGAGCAGTCTGCCTCTGCCCCCCCCCACTCTCCTCCTTGATGACAGCAGCAGAGATAAGAAGAATAGCGGAGTCATCTGGGGCTAGCTGCTGCCTCCCTGAGCCGTGTGCCGCGGGGTAGGTCACATCAGACGATAGTTTACTCTGCTGAGATGTATCAAGTCTAATGAGCCAAAACCAGATGGAAACAGATCATTAATATTGACCTGATGTTTGGCTCTCCGGGAACAATAACGGGTGTTAGATATGTGGCTGGCTGTGGATGTATGGTGTCGTACTCTCGGCTGATGTACATCATGTTTTATTATGTTTCATTATCATACTACACCAACAAATTGTCTTGAATTCTTCCTATAGAATTATTGTCGAGCAGAGTTCCTATACAGTATTGGAACTGTTATCGAATTTAAAGTAACTGTTTAAACTGAATCTTGCGATTTAAAGTACAATAATTTAATTTAATGAACCTAAAGTAGGTTACTGGCAGAAAATGTCTTTTCTGATAACTTCAGTTCAGATTACCATTGCTGTAGTTTAGTATGCTAAAATTATTATTTTTTTTTACATTATACTTTACATTGTTGTACACATACTATTGATCATTCAGACAACTGGCATGCATCATATTGTATAAAAATGAAAACAATACACTCAAAAGTCTACAGTTTATTAAAACAAAAATCACCAGCAGGAACACTTGTTGATACAGAAATACACTTCCCCTTTTCATCCTATAAAAATGTATGAACCCATGGGCTCTAAAAAGAAAACCATGCTCAAAAGAAAATACATAAATATTTATCGAAAAAAAAAAAGTTTTCGACAAAATATATCTATACGTCAAGTTTTATGCCATGCATGTTAAGGCATCAGATGGGAAATCTGAAAAAGCGGGGGGCCAGGCCTGGACTCCGGGGGTTTGGTGGGACACCCACAGGGAGGAAAACCGAGGCTGGGAGCAGAGTGGGCCTGTTGGCGGGCAAAGGGGGGGCCCCGGGGGTTATTGGAGAGTCTGAATATATTAGACCTTCTTCCTACAGATCAATCAGATGCCACCATATTAGAGGAGATGCTCCATGCAGTGAGTTGTGGGAGTTGATGGGTCAACAGCTTTTTTGGGATGTTGTTACATGTCCAGGCAGACTGTTTTTGTTTTCCTCCCCCCCTCCATTTTGTTTCCTTCCCAGGTAGCTGGCAGCTGGGAACACTTCGCCCTGAGTGGGCAGGAGGTGGCCCAGCAGGATAAAAGCAGCTCACCTGGAGGCCAGGGTGTGGCATATTGCTGGCAGGACCTGCATTTTCTTTGAGAGGCTGGATTACCAGTGTGGCAGCTTGTCTGAAGGTTTGTGGTGGGAGATTGTGGGCTAGGTAAGTTAGGGTACCCTGTACACCTTCATCACGCAGGTGAATTTCTGTTAGATACCCTAGGTAAGTAGGTTGGTGCCACCCTTGTATTATTATAAATTTGTTAGCTCAGAGTAGCAGGGTTTTCTTTTCTTTTGCTTTCTTTCAGAGGTACTGTTAGTTAGGCCCTGTTTTGTTTTGCTGATTTCTTGGATTTGGAACAACCTAACGGCCCCTTTCTCCCCCACAGTTGTTGAGCCTTCTTTGTCTTTTTTTTTTAGACCAATAAACCTTACATTTTTGCACTTTACAAAGACTCCGAAGGTGAACTCCATGTCCTAGGAGTCCCAGGGTGCTACCTTACTCAGCAGAATGTCAGGATCAGGATGTTACTGTCTACTGTAGATTTATTCAAGTCATCATTCTCAAACAATATAGATAACATAAACAGTTAACGGGATGGTTTTGATCTCTTTATAAAATACTTTAAGTTTAAAAAATCAGATCATACTTTACCATGCCAAACTGTTACAGATAAAATATGTGTTTGGAATTATCTTTTTTTAAATCGCTAATATGTCAAAACTGCTGTAAATGACTGTAGAATGCTGTATGAGTCACAGGGCTGAAATTCAACCCATCTAATCAAATGTTTGTGTATGTTTATGAGGTTGATGCTAATTAAATGTTTATCATTTTAAAAAATTAAATGTTTCATTCTGAAACCAGTCACTTGGAAATACCTGGGTCAGGGTAATCAGCCTGATTAAGCGCTAAAGGACTAAAAAGCTCAGTTGGAAAACGTGGAGCGGTTTCCTGGTAACTGCCACGGATCAGGGCGACTGTGGTGGGCGAATGTTAGGCAGCACTGTGCTGTCCTAGAAATGTGGGCAGGATTCCCCTTAATAGTCAGAAACCTTTCATGAGAGGGTTTTGTTTCGAGTTTGTTGTTTCTTACTTCTGTTTTCCATGCTTTAGTTCCAGTGATTTATTTGAGTAGAGGGTCAGAAAATTACCATGAAATGAAAAAGAAATGGGATCATCCGCATTTCACCTAAAACAGGTGTTTCCAGGTAACTGGTTACAGCTTTAAATGTTGAATTTATTCAGCGGTTCCAACATAAAAGGTTGGCCAGAGGAGATGGATTTCTGGACTATAATTGCACCAACTTGAAGGAAAGCTGAAATAACCTAAGATGCTAATCCAAAATTTCATTCTTTTAATGCATATTTGTAATGTTATTAATGAATTATTTGTCACCATATTGCAGCTATTTTTATTTTCATTAAAAAATATTTGAATGCTTCTGTTAAAAAAACCTGAGACAATGTTTATCTAAGCTACAATGAGCTAGAAAGTCTTGTATTTTCTCTCTGCTTGATGTATCATTTTTGTTTTTCTCGCATATTTTAAATGACATTGTCTGTGAAGGGGAATGCAAACCGACACGTCACCAGCCAGGAAAGTTCACATTTTCAACTATCCTTACTGCTGGTTTATCTTGGACTGGGCTCTTGTTTAACCAATCAAAAGAACAAAAAGCCATTTCTTTTTCAATTTGGAACAAAACATTTGAGACAGATATGTGCCTGCAGCTGTCTGATGGATTTATGCTTTGTCTGATTTACATTTAAAAAATGACATTTCTTACAATTTTTCAAATGAATGTGTTCCTTGGTAAATGCTAACAAAAAACAAAATAAATATATGTATCTTTGTCAGTATTGAAGCTGTGCAAGGGTACACAGAGTCCAATATATATATATATATATATATATATATATATATATATATAGTTCTCATAAAATTAAAATTGTATTTCAAGCATTAAAATTGTTTTTCTCCCTAGACTTGTTGCATTTGTGTCCAGCTGATCTTCTATAAACCAATTACCAACAAAGTTATAGTTATTTGGTTGACTTAGTATTCCTCTCAAACAAGTTAAATACTGTCAAAATATTCCGAGTGGAGGGATTCATTGAAGCAAACTGAACACATTGCTGGTGATAATAAAGGTGTTTCGTATATTCATGATGAGGTGGTCTTTTATTCTGAGGAAATTGGAGCATGTGTCCACAGTTACAGTGCTGAGCTACTTTCCATGGTGTGTGTAACTCCACAGATCTGTTTACTGTGTGAAGATTGTGTGTGGCTCTGCACTCCCCATCTCAAAATCCAACATTTTACATAAAGACAAAAAATAGGTCTGTCAAATAACCTGTTACCACCCTCTTAAACGACTCCAAAAACCTTCAATTCTGTGATTATTGACATTGTGTCACAGCCATAACACCTCCTCTGTTTGCCCCCCGGCCCTCAATCATAAACCTGGCACCAGGACTATTAAGGCCGCGGGCATCACTCTAACATGGGGTGGGCTACATCTTATGTATTCAGTCCAGCGACTGTGGCCATCTATCCCTCCATCATACACAAATCCACGCATCTGGATTTTGGCCTTTTGATCCAATATGGCTGTTAAAAGAACCATTATGTCAGTCGTACGGGTAAGAAGAAAATACTTATTACAGAGGTGGACTATTGACCTGTCCAGAGAACATTTCCCAGCTGTCACTGTGCCTCTCACTCAATAAGCCCCCCCTCACCCCCCCACCCCCTTCACCCCCCTCACCTCATTCCCCAGTGACCCTTCCTGGAATAAGAAAGTATAGAAAAATGGATGGATGGCTTTGTCCATAAATATATTTGAGTTTTATCTGTACAGCAAGGAATGCTAAGCTTTAGAAAGTTTGCATTTAGCTATCAGTGCTATTTGTTGGTTGTGTTATTTTTCTTTTTCAAAAAGTTGTATTAGTTTGTGCAGCAGCATGTGTTCTATAGTCTATATATTAAATACTGGATTTAGATTTCTATCCATTCAATAAGTTGTTTCTTTGACACACTGTATGTGATGTCTGTGACTCCAAATATCAGTTGAGTACTTTGAAGAAGAGTATTTTTGGACAGTTTATTTTTAATTTTTCTGAAAATGGTATGTAATTACGGTATTTGAAATGAACAAGTTTGTTGACTTTGGATATCCATTCCAACAGCCCCAAATTCTTCTGGCTCCATGATCTAAAATGTGTTTTGGGATATCTATTTCCTTTGAATTTAGCTGGATACATGTTGATAAATAATTCAGCTGAGAGAGGAATAGGAATAATGGAAAGTCGTATATTATAGTGTATATTATGAGGTCCACTAGCTGGTTGACGTGTTTTTGTGTGAAAGCTGCATTTCATATTTGCAGTAGCTTGCTTTTGTTTCGGCTCACCTCCAGGCATAACATTTCTATTTTTCGCCAGTCTGTTGTGCAAACTCAGTCCCTCAATCTCCATCACATAGTGTCTCTCCTTTACCTCCCCGCAGACAATAAACAGCCCCACCTCCCTTATAACACTTTCCAATTAAATTCTTTCCCTTTGTCGACTTGGAAATGCCTCCTCTCAGTGAATTATGAAGGAAAATAGAGACTGATAAGAGGGGAGGGCTGGAGAGACTGCCTGTGTGCCAAGTGTGAACTAAAGACAATGTATACTCTCAGTACTGAAAGGAGTGCGATTGATAGATGGATAAAGGGAGAAACAATGCAGGAGACAGACACGGGGAGAGGAGAAACAGAGGGAGAGTGATGCATGACCCACAATTTCTCAAGGCTTTGTAATAAAAGGCTGCTGTGTGGTGTTCTCTGTCTCTGTCACATTAAAAGTAAATAAGACTAATGGCATGATGTTCAAAACGCCACAGGGCTACTCTGCCTGAAAGCAAAATGTGTGTGGAAATTCTCGCAGGCCTTTGCATGCTTCAGCCACCTGAATTTCTGCTCAGTGCATCCCAACATTACCAGGCGAGGAATTTAGATGCATTTAGATGCATTTATGTGCATTACGATGCATTTATATGCATTTAGGTGCGTTTAGGTGCATTTAGGTGTATTTAGGTGCGTTTAGGTGCAGGGATCACATGTTTCTGGGATAGTCACTGAAGGCCGAGACATTTAGGATTTAAGGGAATTAGCCAAACATAGCTCAGTCAGCCTGGACTGATGCTGGAGGACAGAGTTTTACGATGTAGGGACTCATTTAGTCATTAGACTAAAATTACAACACATATTTAGATCTATAGCAGAGCCCCAATTACAAACCGTTACTTAAAAGGTAAGATAAAACTGAACTTACGTGAAAAACAAACACAATATATTTGAATTTAAGATTAATTTACCCCAAAACTTAACAGAAATTATATCAGACAGCATTCTAAATTGCTTAGTCTTTTTACCCTTTTCAACTTTTTATACTTATTTTAACCACAAAAGGATTGCTAATCTCTTGATCTAGTGCATATTAACTTAGAAGTTTGAACTTTTCCCCTTTTTTTTTTTTTTTTTTACAAAACAAAGTATCTTTCAACCTACATCAACCAATTTGATGTGGCCTTTATTTTATGAATCATCCTTAAACTTGTTCAAACCAGTTTATTTCTATGAATTTGTCTTTGCTATCAGAGCGGCTGAGTGGCAGCGTAATCACCCCGTAACTTCTGAGAGGCCTGCGGCTAATTGGACTCAGGGGATTCAGGGATGTGGATTGATTTGGAAAGCGTTTGAATGAGTTGTGAGTTTACTTTCAGATTTTTCTTCCTTGTTTTGCTTGTCAGTAGCTGTTGAGTTATTTTGCTTATGAGCTAAATATGGAAGGTTTGTTGACTTTGATATGGAGCAATATTACAGTTTTCTGACTGTGAACCAGGAGAAATGTGACACCTAAGCAGACTGTGGTTATACGAGGAAATCTGCTTTACTTTTGTTCTGCAGCACCACACATGATTAACTGTGTTTAAAATGTTGTGTACAACACTTTCCAGGTCATTCACTTAAAGTGGAAGGAAATATCTTCCAGTCAGGGTTCGAACTACCAACCCACACATGTGACGGGCTGATAAAGATATGTAGCTATTTCTAACAGCTATTCCGCTTGGTTTTCCTTTTTGTCTATCGTCAGAAAAGATTTGTTCAGCTGTCACACGTTTGGAGTTAATGTGAATTCTAACATTTTATATTACCAATAATTTTTTGCAGAGAACTATCAACTCACAACTATTCTATTGTTCTTGCTCCCCAGGTTGAATAATTTAATACTAATCTCAAAACAGTAACAGTCCTTATTTTCTGCATCAGAGTGAAGGAAATTCGTGGGGATTTGGTATTAGCCAGCAGACCAAAAGTAGCGAACCCAATTGGTTCTATTCTGTCACGTGGTCTCAGGCATACTAAATCAGAATATTTCTTCGTCGTGTGCATGTTTGGAAATCCACATGCAGAAAATCGTTTTTTAAGGAGATCTCCTGGAAGGCTGTGGTTGCTGTGCTATAATATAATATTTTAAAAACGTTTTCAGTCTCTCTCTTTTGGCGGCGCGACCACGTCATGCCTCCAACGATTTCATAAAAATGATGACAAACTGCAGGAAAACATGGAGGATGATGGATTTCAAACGAAAACATTGTTTTTTTGTTGGTTCCCTGTTTATTTAGCATGTATTTGATATAAAAACTTCCTTCCCGTTCTACCCAATGGAGTAAAGCGCATGACGGGCAAACAACTTTTGATTTTCTCACGTCTCGACAATAAGGTGTGCGCCAGGCGCAGGATCGAACGGTCATTTCGTACCCTGATGTAACGTATGGATGGGATTTACCGTCATGTCGAGGTTATTGTTGTTCCTCACAGGGGTCAAGTGGTCGCCTGTCAAAGCAACATATTCCACTCAAGCCAGATCCTCTTCCTCTGTTTCCTTTTGTGGATTTTAATCATCACTGTTGATCTCACATCGGCTTGGATCCTTTAACAGTTGGCACTTTAAAAACTTCTTCAAGCCCATGTCCTGGACAGTTTTAACGGGTCTCCAGTCCTTGGTTTCCCATCTGTCAGCTGCTCTTTTGCAGACGTCCTTACCGCCCTGCCTCTGTGAGGGTGCTCTGACACGTGCCAGGCGTAACACCGGAGGCTTCAAATGGTGCTTCAGCCTCAAGGTGCTCTGGAGAAATAAAGCCGTGAGCAAACCACAACATGTCTGGATACTGTTCAATGCTCATCTCTTATTCTTGACCCATACATCCAAAGGGCCAACAGTTTCCTCCTCATCTTGTTGTCTTTCATGCAGTGTACCCGACACGTGAACGTGGTGGGGGGGATGTGACAGCAATAGTTGTGTAGTGCTGCACAGTCATAGACAGCATGAGAAAAACGCTATAAATGCGTTGTAGCACCCTAATAACTGTATTCGTTTAAATTAATGTTAGTGGGATGATGCCATCTGTCTCTGTTTCAGCTGACATAAGAAGTTGTCTGAAGTCTGTTAGGCTTTGCCTGACAGAGGAACATTTATCCACTTAAACCCAGTGTCAATGCAATCATGTTGCATCCAAACCACTTTAGGGTCCAGCACAATGAAATGTAGCCTGTTAAGTAGATCTTTTTTCTTTTTTTTGTTAATCTAAAACTTCTCACCTGAATTTCTAGTGATAAGATTTAAGATTGATAGTAAAACAAAAACCTAGAGCGCATGCGTCGCTTCTTTTGGGGTATGCATAGAGCAAAATAAGAAAGATAATACACATACATAGAAAGTATGTAGAACAGACTCTGACAACTGGCTGCTACTGAAATCCTCCTACTGCCTCCATCAGGAGACCCTAGAAAGAAAGATAGTCATGAACACCCGCAAAGAGACAGAAAGAAGGGAAAAACGCAAAAAATAAAAACCACAAAAAACACCACCACCAGCAGAATGATATATGGCCACAGAAGTGTGTTTTTGTACATGCAGGAAATGTGCCGGTGGTCTCGTCGTGCTCAGTGATGGGTGCACAGGTCCACCGCCATCCCACTTACTCAAACTCCCATGCTCTCCATATGTTGAGGTATGTGTCCTCTTGCACAAAATGTGTGCGTCCAGACAGACATAAGCTTGCAAACTGAGTAAACAGATCAATAAAGTATGCACTCATAAAAGTTCTCCAGGCAGTTCTGATATACTGGGAGCATGGCGATGTATGAAAATGCACTTTGTGGACTGTAGCTCAGCCTTTTAGACAGTTATTCTTCACAAATTGTTTCACAAACTCAGCTACCCGGGCTTCAGTGGTCCGTTGCATTGATGGATGTGATTCTTCTCGAGCAGCAGACAGAAAAGCATCAATATGAGGGCTTATACATCTGCCACAGTCATCCTGCAGCATGCATTCTCAGCCCCCTCCTCCGCTTCTCTGTATCATCAGCACTCCCTATCCACCCCAACAACGCCACACTGGAATCCAGTCGTGACACTCCACAGTAGGACTGATCCACGACAGGTGGAACAACAGGAAGCAGGTGGTCTGAGTGGCGCCACCACACAATCTGGACCTAAACCCCACAGAGTCATTATGGACACAAGGAAAGACACGGAGCTCCTTGCATTGCACTAAGCAGAGAAAGGGAGGATATGG